AGGARGGACAACTTAGAGCTAAGAAAAACATATACTCAAATAAAAAGTCTTAGGAAGTTTAAGAGACCTTCATGAGATGAAGGTCTCGGACCGAAACGTTTTTATTAAACTTCCTAACACTTTATATATATATATATATACACACAGGTTTGAAACACGGTGTGAGAGGAGCTATGTACACTGTAACCTTGATTGCACAATCATGTTCACAGAACTGACCTGGGTGGGATGAGTCCACTTTCTACAATTCCATCAGCAATATCTTTGACATGCAATTTTCCTCCACTTTGAAGCAAAATTTGCTGAAATTATAATTATAGCAGTACTTATTGAATCCAAGGGTTCATGAACATTTCAAATAGTTATGATCATCTTTTCCAGCTTGAGACAACTCTTGTGGATGGACTCATATGTATTAACTTGCAGGAAATCAGTGCATGCCAGTGTTCTCCAATTGATGTTTGCTATGTGTTTCAAACAATTTCCCTATAAATACCACATCTTCAACTCTTTACACCCGAAGATCAGTATGTATATTCTCTAAACTGTTATTCATAAATTTCCTAAGGTGCTTAGGCAGAGAATTAGTTTAACAATCAAGAGCTTCTTTAGTTGTGATCACTCTGTTAAATGTTGTGACCTAGATACTAATCATTTTAGGAGTCAAACTGAAGACCCTTTCACTCCCGAGATCTCACTGGTAATTCTCCTTACTGTCTGCCATACAATTCTTATGAAATTAGTTCAGAGAATTTGGTATTAAATCAACTAGTTATCCCTTAGTTGATATTTTTCTTTATTACATCCATTTTGAAATCACTCATGGTCCCTGTAATCTGATTGGCTCTAATTGGTGTGATTTATTCACGAATCGCACCATTATTTGCTCTAAATCGCATCATTTTACGCTTGACTGAGTTTTTGACACATGACGTCAAAGTCTTTCTGTTTTACATACAAAATAAGATGTAAAAGCATTTCTGGTTCCGCTTTTTATTTAAAAACTGGTTCAGTACTGCATCAATAAAATATTTGAATTGACCAAGTCCTGTATTTGGGTGATTTCAAAATGGATGTAACAAAGTGCCAATTGAACCTCGTGTTGTGCAATTTTGGTCTGAAATCATACTTGTGATTTCAAATCCAACTCGCGCTGCACACTTGTATAATTTTGAAATCAAGCGTATGATTTCAGCCCAAATTACACCCCACTCAGTTCAATTACCATTATTTATTCTCATCACTTGTCTGCTTGATTTTGTATTGATATTGTAAGGAGAAATTCTGTTTTGGTCACTCATGGGAGTTAAATGGTAGAGCGACAACACCCGATTCAGGGGTGATATTGTAAGGAGAAGTAAGAGGCTAGTCACTCTTAAGGGACAAAGAGCTAAAAAGATGTTGAGACACTGGTTGTGATAGAACCCAAAGGCTTTACAAGTTGAGGATGTTGAAAGGACACCATCAAGGTTGGTACATGTAAGAACAGGGCTCGAAATTGTGACCACTACAATCGCATTTGCGACTTAATTTTTATGTTTGCGACTAAAACTTCCTGAGTAGTCGCAAATTTGCGAGTAGAATAAAAAAGCCAGCAGTCGCTACTTTGCCACTACTTTTTGCCAAAATAAATAAAGAAATGAAAAAATATATTGTCATGTGCCTTGATTATCATAGACATTTGAAGATATAAGGTAAAATTGTATCTAATTTATCCGCAATGTTGTGCACACAATGCCATTACCTTGATTGGCCGCCATTGCAGTGGTCTCTTATTCATATGTATTGCAGGTTCATATTTTTGTTTGTTAAACCTCTAGATTTTTGCGACTAAAATTTGTCAGCTTGCGACTAAAATTTGTCAACTTGCGACTATATTTACGTATCAAGTTGCAAAATGGCAACTGAACTTTTCTTTTAATTTCGAGCCCTGAAGAACGTCTCAATTTCATTGATATGGGGTTACACGCTGTAGATTCACAAAACTAGGAACCGGGAGATGACAAAAGGTGAAACAAAGAAAAGGGGAAGGTTTGGCACAAGATCTAATTCATGATTAGCTCTTGCATCCATTGATCAAAGTTGTAAATCAAAATGTAAAACATAATTCCAAATTTACTTACTTCTGATGCCCTCAACAGAGTTTTTTCCAACAATTCTGCTGTGGCAGATTCTGCAGCATCAGCACTATTCAAAGTAAAAAGGAAACATCACCTAAAAATGCCCCTTTAATTGTACATATTAAAGGAAGAGTTCAAAAATTTCGTGAATACAATCTGTATTTGCACAGACATTATTTATACCATGATAATTACAACAAATTTGTTCAATTGACAGATTGATTTGATCCATAGGCCTTTGATTAATCTGGGATATGGATGAAATGTGCAGTGACACTAGATTTTAAAGCTTTCTGGATGAATGTAAGTGCTTGGTTAGAGCTCTTCTAGAAGATAATAATGTTCAGCTTTTGACCAAAGTAAATTCTCTCAGAATAGAAATTAGCACTTCAGCAGCTAAGCACAATTACCAAACTCTTAAGAGCCCAACCCAATTATGGGCTGCAAATTGATGAGTACAATTTCAACTTACTTGATATGACCAAATTATCTTGTTACCCCCACCGACACAGCACCACAGTTTCTTTAGAAACTTACCCTCTTTATTCATTTATGGTGAAGAAAAACCAAAGTTAGGGATGGCAGTTTTGATCACTCATCAATTGGCCACCATAAAGAGTTCAAAAGCTGACATTTTGAGCATTAGCCCTTTGTCAGAGAGAATGGAGGAATTGTGGGTTGTGTGTGTGTGTTTATATGCAGAAAGTGGAGCTACGCTATTGGTGGGAACAAAGTGATGAGGAAAACATGAATAAATTAGTAGAATGAAAAGCATTTATCCATACCCATGGGTTTAAGGGTGCCAATTTGAAATATTAACTATTGTTCAAGAGTTTTGTGGCTTTCCGAGCTACCTCAATGTAAGGAAAGATTGCAGATTGCTATCTGCTGCTAAGAATGATTAGGTAGATTAAAGTGTCTAATGACTGGTTTTGATGCATCCTTGTCATTCCTTTCTATGTCGCGAAGGTGTTTTTGGAAATTATCGGTCACCTAGTCATCTTCCTGCTTTGCTGATGTATATCTTTATTGCAATAAGTGCAAGTTATGCAATAGATGATGTTGGCAGACGTGCACGTGAAGTGATCAGTGATCTTAATGGATCGTTTGGGTCTTGATATTTTCTCAGCGTTGTGAATGAAAGGACAAGTTTTGCATCGTGCGCGAGCACATTTAAAAGTGCCGGGTTGGTCATTAGTTTGGAATGAAATTCTGACCAAAAAATTGCCTTTCTTTTTGTCGCATTTGAATGAAAAGAGTGGAGGTTGCGAAATTTAAATGAATCGAATGGATAAACAAATGTGGTAAGAATTAAAACTTTGTTCCCCTGAATTCGAGATTTTCAGCTCGATCCATCGAAAAAAAAAAAACATTCATAAAATACGACAAAGACAAACACAATTTATTTTAAACTTACAATTCAGTTTCTTCCCCTTCGGGTTGTTCGTCAATCTCCTCTGAAGTCATGCCAGAAGTTGAAAGGCCTGGATCAAGCGATGGAAACAGGGCCGAGGAACCGATATCTTCTGAACTAGCAGGAGACGGTGAAAACATATTCAAAGCAGTAGGAGATAACATCTTTGCGGGTGGTAGTGTAATGACATCTGTATCAGTGAAAGTATTGTAAGTAACCCACAATGATGATAGATGACAACACCAAGAAAACACAGGCAATCAGGCCGCCATGTTTTGTTAAAGCCAGGCGTGGTTACTGAGGAAAAAGGGGTAGGGACTGGGGAAGATCGTTTTTTTTTCTTTGGTTTGTTTTGTTTTGTTTTTCCTTTCCGATGAAAGTAATTTTGTGAAACATGCCTCTTTTCCCTTGCCTTTCTCAACGGACTAACATAACCAAGCACTGCAAACACTGTACCGATATTTTCTATCAGGGGGGTTGAGGAGAAAACCACAGTTTTGGCCACAGAGCCCGAGAGGAAAAGACCGCCACCCAATGTGCTAACTATGTAAGAGCCAATCTGAAAAGTTAGCATTGTCATTTTCAGGATGTTTTGCAAATCAAAAAGAAAATTGAAAGAAACAAGAAGGGAAATTAGCAGTTAGATCTTCGGGTTTAAAGTGCATGAGAGAGAAAAGTACTGATTAAACGAATATGTTGTCAGATCAGAACAAAAAAGCTTATAAGATATAGACCATCGTTGTCATTATTTTCAGTAGAAAGAATTAACTGTCTTGTATCATTTTGTTTCAAGCTGCAGAACTCCAATTAAACACAAAAATTTCGTGGAGGATTCTCCCAGTCGCTCTCTTTCTTTACTTCATATCAATTGAACTCTTTGCATTTGATTTGTTCTGGAAGTTTTGCGCGAATGTGGATAAGACCGATTAAAATCTTTATCGAGTGCTTTCATCAATGGCATGACCTAAAGATCCATGGAAATTACTATTTTTGTCATACACCTGACGTATACACCAAATGGTTTTTTAGTTGAGGTTCTGTGCACTAAAGTATTATTTAAAATTCTTACTCAAATTAGGCATGACCCCTGATGAAAAAACACAAAAGACATTCTTTCAAAACACTCAAATATGCGCATAACTCAAACAACTGGAAACGGTTCGTATCCGCACAAGTCGACGCGAAGACGTTTGGTTGTCGAGTTAAGAAACTCGCGGAGATTCCTAAGATGAAGACAAAACTAGAAACAACTTTCCGTTTGACATCATTACTCCTCCTCTTCCTCTCCAGTGTTTACGCTAAAACTGCCGCAGGTAGGAAGACCCCCGCGAAATGAAACGAGTTGTTGCTTTGTGCCCTGAGAGTCAGTGATATTTACTTCGCTGCAGTCTTGTGTTTATATTTTTATGTTATTCCTCGCTCAAAATGAACCATATAGGGTTTTATCTTAAGTCTAGTTTACTAATTTGTTTACCTAAAATATAGGGACCACAGGTACTAAATTTTCGATTATTTTAGCATCTAATCAATAAGACAAAATTGTGTTTTTCTGACATGATGACTCCATGATGACTTATTGAGAGTGGCTGACCGACAGATATATAGATAGACTGACCTATTGACTCACTGGCTGTTGGCAAACTAAGCGGCTGGCTAACAGATATATTTACGTCTTGGTTTTCCAGTCAGTTCATATCGTGACATATGTTGTAGTAATTGTCATTATTGGTTTTGCACTTTACTCTTTATTCTTTCGCACTCTGATCGTCTTTCTAATTTCACAAAAGTTTAAAACTAATTTATGCTCGGTTCCAAACGCACTTCGATTTCCCATTGAAGTGCACTTTAAAATAAGTTTATTCCCACAAACTTCTATGGCATCTTCAATTGCAAAGAATTTGAAAACTAATGACGTAAGTCAACAAATACAAACAACTCCTCATGTGGAACTAACAGAAAATATTTCGAGATTATTCTCCCATGTGTAAGCTAAGACCGCGAATGTTCATTTAAATGACACGAAAGAACAAAAGACAACCATGCAGCCTGATAAACAATCGCAAGGCTGGAAGTCGCACCTGATCTCTCTGTGAGAATATTGTTTATAGATTTAAATTACATTATACTCCTGTTTTAGAAATCCATTAGCCGCCAGAATAAGTTAGAGTTAGCCAATGCTTTTGTCTAAAAACAGGTGGATCTACCTACCTCATACCGTGGTCTGGGAAAATGAAGTCAAATCGTTAGGCGTTACTCTCTTTTCTCTTTTACTTCGGTATGTTATCATCTCTTTATTTCTCTTATAGAAGAGGATCGAGACTTGATAATCCTTTTGGAAGCTGTAGCTTTAGCAGTTCTCGCTGTCGCTTTGATTATTCTAATAGTCAGCTGCTGTTGTTTCTGGAAAATGTAAGTGAATACCTAGAAATTACTCGATAGTGATGGTGTGGATCTTGTTGGCGTTATGTTCTTTAAAAGTCGATGTGATCCCAGTTAATGGTGTGTCTGCAGTATTGTGATTGCATTCTGTATCACATAGCGCACGCGCGGAACAAGAGTTATAAAATCAAAACCAAATGAAATGAATAGGGACCAGTTATCATTTATTGCTTGAGGGCTGGGGGAAGGGGCGGAAGATTTTACTTGGGGGAGGGGTCACAAGGTTTTCAAGATCAAGGGAAGTGGAGTAAGGTCAGTCGTTGCATCATATTAAAATGGGAGGTCTATAGAAAATTGACTGCCATTTAAATCGAGCAGAGATCAACTAAAATGCAGCAAAACGCAAAATTCCAGGTAGCGATTTCTTATATTTTTGGTCTGATTGGTTCTTAGGAGGGTGAGAGCTAGTTTCTGGACCAATCACAGAGCATTGCAAAGGAAAACCAGTGCATGTAATCCCAGAACACTTTGCTTTCTCTCCTTAACTTTAGAAATTCCTTCAATTACAGGTTAAGGAAGAGTGGGCGTGACTATTAGCAGCTATGGACATAACAAATTGGAATTCTTTTGACTCAAACATTTTTTGTCTGTGTCTACCTTAAATTAAATGATATTGCAGAGTATCTACTTACCTCGAAAGATTGTATTATACTACTTATGTTACAACTCATTGTACACTACAATACTGATATCTGTCGTCACAATTTTTAGATCTTTCTGTTTAGTTGGAACTATGTCTAATTACGTTTTTTTTTTATGACTTACGACTCAAAATAGTCGAGATTTATTGCTGACGAGGAACTCGCAGAAGTAAAGAAGTATTGTAGAGATTGCTGATTTGCCGTCAGGCTATATTGTTCAGAAGAAATAACTGCGGGTACTGCTCAATTGTGAAAAGAAAATTAAAGAAAGCCTACTTTCATAAAGTTTCTGGATAACACGGATTGCAAAATGCCGAGAGAAATGCCTTGGCAATAGTTGACCTCGACGAGTCCGTTATCATTTTATGATAATGCACGCGAGAGACGTTAACATCATGAGCGCTGGCAATTAACAGATGTTTTAATAAAGTAATTATAACAGAAAAACCTTGTTTCCACATTATTTCTTGGAGGTAACGGTAACAACTCAGCATAAGAGCTGGGGGGTGGGGTGGGGTGAAGTGGGGGAGGGAGGAAGACTTACGAGAGAGATCAAAGCGCCATTGGGTTTGCATGAGTAAACAAAACATACCTTTGTTTAAAAGGATTTATAAATTGTCTTTATTCATAAAACTTTAAAACTCTCTAAAAATCCCTCCTACAAAATTGCTGAGTCCATATGAAACCAATGCGGCCGTAACCGCAATAGAATAAATTAGATGATAAACTCAAATTTTTCTATGCATACTCTACAAAACAGAAGTTTTTTCAAAATAGACTCTTCTAACACTAATCGTAATCAATGCACTCATAGGAATATTCCGCTACTTAATTTCAGTAATTATAAAGTACCACTAGCCTTCTGTCTGTATCATTAAATTCAGTAAAACAAAATTAAAACTGTTTTTGTAAAACCTCAACAAACTCAAGGTGTATATGCAATATCTTAATTTTTGTTTTTTATTCAGTGGATTTTAAACCGTTTTCTTCTTTTTACTTTGTTTGATTTTTGTCTGGTAATAAAGATGGCTTAAATATCAATTTATAAATATGATATATAACTTCACACCTGTCAAATCATTGATGATTCCTTGAAAAGTCTAGTACAGGATCCTAACTATCTAACTGAGCCCGTACAACGACTAAGTTCAGAAATCATAGCAAATTTCCGGTTGCAACTTGGAGATTACAACAATGTATACAGATATATAATAATCTCCAGACTCTCGTTTTGTCCAGAGAATTTATAAATAGCCTACTGAAATGGCTAAGAAATTGTAAAAAGGTCTGAGAATTTTAAACGAAGAAGGTTCAACATGAACAGTTTGGAAAACTCACTGTATAATAAGTATAGAGCGGGCAAAACAGTGAATAAAGGTGATTGAATGTGTCTTGAAGAATTGCTGTTTCGTGTGTTGAAAAGTGATTGTACTTAGTTTTTGAGGCTTCGCATGAACGCTGAGATAAAAAACGCTATTAAAGACGTGCAAGTGGCACTACCCAGGATCAAACTTCGTAAAAAAAGTTAACTGTTTTTCAAACAAATTTTTTTCCAAGATAATTTTGCGATTTACGAAGTAGAGTCCACTACACACCAACAAAAAAAAATTATTAATTCCTCTTTGTATTAAGCCTAGAGGAAGTTACTTGCCAGTCGAATTGCAGTTTCATCGTAATTATCGGATACTTAATGAAAATCACACAGCTACTCGAATATTTTGTTAATTCACATAACGTTGTTGTTTTTTTTTTTTGGTTTGTGCTACTTATGCTTCTGAGAAATAAATAAATATGATCGGCTTACATATTCCTTTTTCAAATATCAATGTTTATACGTCTTTTACCAAATGTCTGTTTTACTGAGTCCTACAGTATTGTTGCACGAATGACTGAAGCGGTACCATTTTGCCTGACTCATCTTTCGTGACACAACAAGCTTGGGGGTGACACGTGTACGGTGCTCAAATACAATGAACTTTAGTTAACCTAGAAGTTCTTGAGCTCGTGGTACAAGATGGAGTGCACAAGCAGAAATTATCTGCTCTATTTAGTGTTTAGCGGGGAGGGTTCTGGGTGCCATTTTGAAACAGACCTTCTTCTTTGTTCTCAAACTTGAGAGACCTTCTCCACCACAACGAGGACTTCTTTTGGCGGCTGCAATGGCGAATACGACAAAAGGCTTGCCATACTCGCGCGCATGCTTGTTCTCTTTGGCATATCCCAGTACCGATTTAGGTAAGACTGGCTCGCTGAAAGATGCAAGTTACTGTTCAGTTTGTTGCACGAGCCAAGACTAGCTTTTGTGGAAGTTGTAGGAAGAGAGGAGACTGGTGAACGGATACCATCCAGCAGTTGCTTCTCACTGCCACCAGAAGGCACAGTCTCTGCGCGGTCGCGTCCGTCTTCGTAACTTTCTTTGGGCATGAGGGCTGGCACAAGGAATAACAAGCACGTGGCAACAGTGGAGCAGGCGCCAGCAACGTAAAAGGCGATCTGGTATGACTGGGCGAGATCGTAGATAACGCCTGGGATAAAATACCGAATAAAGATTAAGATAGGTAAATAAATAATCGAAAACAAGACACTAGAACCCCTCTTTAAGAAAAATACATCTAAATTCAAGATAAAATTGCTACCGTCGGAATCAGATGTGCTCGTAACTTTGTATCGATTACCTTCAACAAAGGGTAAGCTCTATTTATGGAACACTGTTAATGGTTCCGACGGAGTCCCTTGACTGGAGGATAATTAAAATAACTAAAGAGTGAGATGATGGCATTACCTGCTAAAGGAGGACCAGCGATAGACGTAATTGCCATGAAGAAGAACTGAATACCAATTCCAGCGGCAACCTTGTCCACACCGACAATATCCGCGCAAAGAACAGCCAAAAAGACTACAAAACAACCATCAAACACACCAAAGAATAACATGTACACAACCAGGCCAGCGTAACTTTTCGTCAGCGTACTCAACGTATCGGCAACCCCGATGAGAAGCATCGCTATCTGGAAGCAGTAGAGCCGGTTCATTCTTCGGTGATCTCCGAGTTTTCCGAAGAAGAGCCGACCAAAAGTCGAGCCAACCGACATCATGCCAACCAGCGTGGAAGACTGCGAGTTTGGGATACCACATTCTTCAGCGTAGGCAGGCTGTACGAATGAGAAAGACAAATCAAAGTTAAATATTGGATTCTGGAATCTGACTAATGAGCAGAAATCTTTCTTACTTCTTGTACGCAAAATGAAATTCAAAATGAAATTTGTTGTAAGGAATAAATCCGTATTGCCTGCATAGTACATTTCCTACACATTTGACTTACCAAGTGTACAAAAGGGACGAAATATCCCATCATAAATGCGCTCAAAGCAATGCACCAGACCAAGAAAGCTTTGTTCTTGAAGACAGTAAAGTCAAACATAGGCGGTCTACGGAGCTTGTCAGCTTCTTCTGCTTTCTCATCTTTCAGATCAGTTTGACTGGGTACTCTGTAGAGCAGAGAGCCGATGGTGCACAGACACAACACTCCACCGAGCACCCTTGCGGCGTTGGCCCACCCTAGATTGTTTATTGCGAGCTGCATGATGGGACCCATAGCAATCGTACCCACGCCACTCCCGGCCGTAACGATTCCGTTTGTCAAACTTATACGCCTGAAACAAAAATATGAACGAAAACATTATTATCAATACACTTTAATTAAGGAGCATTAGATGTTCTTAAGTAAGTAGGTTCAGTTGATTATTGGCGAAGCATAGATCAAGTTCAAATTCAAGACACAAAATGTGTCATCGCTGAAAAAAAAAAAAAACATCACAAATTTAAAAAACTAACCTTTCAAACCAATACGGAAGCGAACGAAGGGTTGGCAAATAACTCATGCTTGCACCAACCCCCCACAGGAGTCCAAACGTCAAGTAAAGTTTAGGAATGTCGTTAACAAACGATGATAACACAAATCCCAGCACTCCAAGCAAACCACCAATGAATGCTACTACCCGACAACCAATGCGTTCGCATAACGCTGACGTCACTGGCGCGAAGAGGAACATCATACCCAGGCCAATTGACAGAACCCATGCTGAAAAATGAAAACAATAAATGATTTAATGTAGGTAAGCAAAGATCTTAAAGTTCCTCATAAAGTAAAGGGTGTTGATCATATTGATCTACAGCTAGTGCAAACAAACAGTTGGCTTTTTTCAAAAGGCAGAACCAGATGATAATTTGAGAACATAAAAGATGAACGATAGACACGATGAATTTACTCGGTCTATCGTTCATCTTTTATGGCTTTTTTCCCCTCTACATTCGTTGTGTGGTCACGCAACAGTTCTATGAGAAGTTGTGTCAAGCCTGAATAAAAGATTGCTGAGCGACGAATACTTTGAATTTGTTTAAGACCTGGATGAAACAGGTTAACTCTTAAAGAAGCTGTGTGTGTGTTTCACTGTGGCTTCAACTAAGAAATCGTGGAATGGATCTTTCTTAAAAACGATTAGCAGTATTCAACGTGTATTTCCATGGTTAACGCAGATGTTCGCGCGTATCGTGAATGAGAAGAAAACAGAACGTGAAATTGAACTAATCAAACGTGGTTCTCCGTCATTATTTTCACCCCAACGTAGCAACTATCAGGTGAAACGTGACTCCAAGTAAAAATACGTCACCACTTCCCGAATCAAAGAGCTTCAAATGGCAACAGGCTCACGAAATTTCATATGAAATGTTTCTCGAAGATCAATTTATTATTGTTTTTCTTTAAGTCTTGATTCGATAATGACGAAAATTTTACCACATCCCTTGCCCAACAAATAAGGCAAAATACGGAAATTCGTATGTGTTCAGATTTCCTAATTAGGGAAACTGGGGAGTTGCTTTGTAAACATTCCTCGCTTGTCTCAACGCAAATTAACGACTTGTCAATACACGCAACGCTCAGGAGAAAATCAAAACATCGAAACGGAACTTGACGAGAATTGAAGAAAATTGATTGAAAGCAAATAAAAATTAAGAGAGAGCAAATTGCGTGGCTTTAACCACCAATGACGAAAATATTAGAGGTGACAACGGACGGGTTTGAAGTGGTAACGGATGAAATTTGCCTCAGAAGATTATAAAAAAAATGAAGAAGCTTTTCCGGGATGATTAAAAGGAAGATTTTAGTGTTAAGGAGAATTGCAACGATAGATTGCTGCAGCACTTCAAACACCCAAATAAACAACAGAAGTAAGTACATTATCTCTACTGTTCTCCGAACATTTCCAAAAGCACAGACGAAAATAAGTTTTCAACAATTTCGTCGGCATCATTTCCTTTATTCCCAGAACCTCCACGTTGATTTTAATGGGATTAGTGTAAGGAGAAATTAGATGCAGGCTAGGGCTTAAGGTGGATTAGACTGACGTTTCCCATAAACGGAAAAAAACAATGAAGGCGAAATAATTCGAGGCACATAGGTTGTACCACTACTTTTTTACGACTCTTTGTTTTACAATTCTATCATGCTACAGCGGATTTTTTAAAAACCGGAAATCCACTGCTGGATGAAATTAAATCTTGCTAAGAGAATGCCGCGATAGCAGATGAAAAACATGCACCGCTGGTGTCTGTTACCACTTCACATCAAAGCCAGTTTAGCAAACTCCAACATGTGAGTAAGAATCAAAGCGGTTCTTTGTGTGTCACTCAACACATCAGTAAAAACGCTACCAAGCGTTTTCTCTTCGCTTTTCTGTTGTCATAATATCTAACATCAGAGGCACCGCCTTCCGGTGTAACCTATCAGAAGCGTACTGTAAAAGACTTCACTTTTTTTTTTTCCTTTTAATAATCTCGTCCAATTCTCTTGCAAGTTAAACCTCGAAAATCTCAAACGTGACAGAATTAAATCATTCAGCTGACAACCTAAGATTCGAGAACGGTTTTGGAGTTTGTTTTCTTGGTCAAGCACTGAATTCTCTGAACTAAACTACCAAGATACGAGCGGAAGCACGATGGGAGAAATGTGTGGTCGATCTAGGCAAGCATACCCCTGCCCCGCCTCCATAGTTTGTTGGGTCATGTCTAGCCACAGGGTAACCTTTACTGTTATCGAGACAAATTAAAACAAAAAGCTGCTGAGTACCTCGGAGCTGCGCTGTCTCGTGCTTGAGAAACATCCACGAAGACAATGAGAGCTTCCTTTGTGGCCATTCTATATTTTAAGGGTTTAAAGGCCTGCTTAAACAGAGCATTCTTGTTTTTGGTGCTTCAGTAAATACTCTCCACACGTCCCCAAACCCAAAACAAAACAAGATTGATTGATTGGTTCACGCAATTGACTTTGAGCAAGGGAAAAAGTCAATTGTTTCGACATGTCCTTACATAACATTATTACGAAGTCTCATGCAGAAAGCAGCAAGGTTACATTGGAAAATAACTGCGGCATAATAAAAGGTTTCTGGGGGTTATATTGCACTAGATGCGTGTAAAAAAGCATCTGTTGTTCTGACATAAGACATGCAACCTAAAGTACATTACGCGGTTCTACGTTTCCATTGGCTGAAGAAACAAAGCTTTATTGAATTTCTTTGTAAAGCAAATTTGGAAAGATATCGTTGCCGAATCGCAAGTCCATAGGCCATTTTGCAGGCATGCAGATTTAAGAAGCATTTTAGGAACGTTGGATTTGCTCTGGAAGAATCGAACAATTACTTTGCTAAAAACATGAGCCAAATGTTGTCAAAAAACTGTCAAAGATTTGCATCTGAATTGAACCCGGAGTTGTTATTGTTACATGCAAATCAGGGGTTGTTTTCGACTCTTAACATTAGCAGGTTATATAACAAACCGAAAACCAAAATAATAATAGTGTAACACCAGGTAAAGAACACAGTTATTTCCTAACCGATCGAGAAATAATTCTTTTTTGAAGCCAGTGTACAAGGAATAAAAAAAGTGAAGTCCAAGACAATTTTGTGTACAGTACTTGGTTTTTAAGTCCGATATGCAAAGCCGTATGTGGCCTTGCGAGAAGATAAAAAAAAAAAGCATGGTATTAAGGACTTAACAAAACCGTATTTACCTCTCTCAGAAATTCGCAGATCAACGGTGTTTTAGGTCAAAGGGAGACTCCCTAAATCATAGCGAGGGAAGTTGTTCTGCACTGCGTTATACAACAGCGACTAGACAACGCAAATTGTACAAAAATAAGTAATTTACAGTGTTTTGATGGCTCAGAAGCCCCGTATGTGTTATCTATATCGGCAGGGATCGGAAACTGCAGATTACATGTCGCAAGAACGAAAGGATTGTGGAAAGCGTAAAATAGTGATCAGTGATCACAACGAGCTCTTACAAATTTTTTCGCAAGACAACCGCAAGGAGGAAAAACTTGACTTTTTTCAAGCCATAAAGAAAGTTTCGGTCAAAATTTGCATAACGCAATGCAACCTTGACATTGTAAATTCACTTCCGGTAATTATTCACTTTTAAGATTGCTAACGAACGCAACTTTTCGTACCGAAAAATTTGTACCTCCTTTTGTATCGTCTTCGAACCACTAGAGATTTCAGAAACAAAACAAAACCAAATAAGGTCCCATCTAAGTTGTGGATAATCTAAACAACAGATGGCTAAATTTCTTAAATCAAATCATTGCGCGCAGAATTTCTCTCTCGTTCGCAACATAATTTTGTCGATGACAGCTCTACCACAAGTTTCTATCCGTTTCTGTTCACAACGGATATTTTAATTTTCAGATATATTCAAGCTGCTAAGGAGAAACACTACGGCTAGTCTGTTGATTCAAAGTAAAGAAGTTATTGGCCCGTTCGACGTATCCGGCAATTTCGCGGTTCTTTCCAAAAAAAAATTTGTACAATGTGTCGCAAATAAAATTTTCGTTACAGCGAAATCGTAACACCTTAAAACGATGGGGTAAAACCCGGCAATTTTGAACGAAGGAACTGATCAAACATTAGATTTTCAGCTGTTTTTCTTGATAACTAAACATGTCCTCTTCAACAATTCAAATGACATCTCGTGCGGAACATGAACTCTCAACAGCGTTTTCATAAAGATAAGAGACTTCGCGACCGCTTGAAGGTTGAAGATTGAAGTCATATTGAACGTAATGGTCATACAATACCTGTTTCTCCTTTACTTTGCTTGAATTCCTCTAACAGCGCCTTGTAAAGAATGCCGGTGTTGTTCTGTATTCCCAACACGACGAATTGTGCGATGAAACCGGCAAGACACACACACCAACCCCAACCGCCGTCCGGTACGGATCGAACCTGAATTTGCACTTGAACTTTTTCGATTTCTTTACTTTCCTTCATATTCTTTCCCATAATAGCAGTTACTCGTAAAGTTTATTTAAAAGAGAGCTTCCAGACCTGAGGATGTGATGTTCACGGCTCTCCGAAGGTAAGCTCCTTCCCCCAACCGAGCAAATTTCAGGTGAAGAAAGAAAAATTTTTGCGTCGAGCATATGCAAACCCCAAATGCCATATGACGTAATTAACACAGCGGTCAGAAACGCCCTGCCATTGGTTAAAAATATGGTATGATCAATAGACGAATAGCAGGGAAGTTTAAAATAACATTCGCTTTAGGAAGGGGGTTGAACAGAGGATAAAGGATACGAGCGAAACGACGCTCATGAGTTTTTCATGTGACCGTAGGTAAATACAGTGTGACATGTTCCGCTAATTTCTTATCTTCGGTTCGTTACTTCCTTGCTTATTGTAGATTCACAAAAAAATCTGTACTTTAATCTAGGTGGGCTTCGCAGGCAAACAGTACCTGCTCTGTCAGGCCTTGCTTTGTGACGTAAACAACACTGCCCTCCTAAATTATTAGGGAGAAATAAACAAGTTCTAAATTTCTCGCACAATGCAAGCTCATGTACGTTACATGGCGTCCCTAAGTATAGAACGCGAAGAGTCTACCACCGGGGTTTTCCCTGAATCGTGGACTTTGCTCAGTTTAAGTTGGGATCGTGATGTAGAAAAAAAAAAACAAAAAAACTTGTGGTTATACGAGCCCTTAGGCAATAAATTATTCACGAAAGCTGTCACGAAGTGAAGTCGAGCTGCAGAAAACAATTCTTCTTGATTTGTAAGAACCTCATCGGCATAATGTCTTCAAAAACTATTAATCCATCCCTGATTATCTGTTGAACTTCGGACTGCACCCTTGAATAAATTCGATTTGAGAAATTATGCAATGAATAAAAAAAAAAATGATGTGAAATAGGAATATTTTGGGTTGATGTGACAACAATTTTTTGGTTAAATCTCTATATAGTGCGTATAAGCACGGTTTTACAATAACGCCAGTAATCACCTTAAATTCAACAAAAGCAGCATATTGCTTCAACCTTAAATCATTATCAAGAATGATAACTCTTCAATTTTGAATAGTAATAATAAAAAAAATCAAGATGAAAACTGCTTTTGTAGAAAATCCAACCTTAATTGTAAAATATGTAAAAAAGAAAAAAATGACAAAAATAAAGATAAAAAGCTTTTATGTTTGGCCTTATACTGAGTTAATGTATACATGAACGTGATCTAGAATCTAACACCGCTGGGAAAACATTTCATCAGTAAAATCAGTTTTCGTGATCGTCAAATTCAATTGAAGGTTGAATCATTATCGAGAACAATCATTCTTAAATTTTTGAATAAAAAGTGAATTAACAGGAAAACTATCTTTGACAGAAATCCAACCTTTATAGAAGTTTACCTTGAGTGAACGAATTATATAAACTAGAAACTCTCCTATTTGGTCGATTCTGGATTGATGTATTTCCGCATAATGACGTCTTGCCAAATGTAACACCTACAATTTATTACATTGAAAAGTAAAATTAGCTTTCGTTACCGTCGAACAATTAACGGTTGCTTACAGCAGAAAAGCACGTGGGCGGTCAAATAAGGGACTTGTGCATTTCTCAGAACACGGCATGTGTAACAACTTCCCCTTCCCACCCCCCCAAAGTTTATCCGTAGAAAGTTAACCTTTGAAACCCAGCTAGATGCAATTTTTATTTCATAGAATGAGCTGGCTCGAGGAGTGGAAATCAAACAAACGCAGCTTTATTTTTACGCCAATGTTCACGTGATAAGTATTAGCATGACGAGTAATACTTTTCTAATCTTGGTTAAAATTGGACTGATTTTGATAGGTGAATAATATCACGGAAAAGCGTAAACAGGGTCTTATAGTGGCTTCGCCATTGGAAAAGATATTGAAATCACGTAGGGAACATCGTTTCTCTATTTGGAGAGAAAATAAATATCAAAATCAACCCAGTGCAAAGGATAACACTCAATTTCAAAATCGTCAGGAAAAACCAAAAAAATCAGTTTTTTTTCTTCAGAAAACCAATAATTGCAAAACGAAAAATTAGTGAGCTAGTTCTTTTTCCGGCAAATTTTGCGCTGTTTACTTGCATGCGATGTCAATAACACGTTTATCACTCTATCTTTCTCATTAAAAAAATTTATGCCGACAAGATGGACTTTGCGTGCACGAAACATCGTTACATGGTGGACTTCCAGGACCTTTTGGAATGTTAGATCGACAAATCCCGGAATAAAATGACAAAGGCATCTTAGCGCGAAAATAAGAAATACCAACAACTGATGGTCTGTTTACCGGTCGTTTTGTA